TTGTGTATGGTTTTGGTGTCCTTATTTGAGGAAGGATGTTCTGGCACAGGAGGGAATGCAATGAAGGTTTATCAGACTAATTTGTGGGATGGCAGAGCCCAATGCATGAAGAGAGCTAGGATCGGTTGGAACTATATTCACTCAAGTTTAGAAGAATATGGGGAAATCTCATAGAGGGCTATGAAATTCTAACAGGTAATTGCTGGAAGGATGGTCCTGTTAACTGGGGAGTCCAGAATGGGGATCACAGTCCAAGCATTAGGGTTAAGCCATTTAGAACTGAGATAAAGAGAAATTTCTTCAACCAGAGAAATTCTCTGCTGTAGAAAGTGATTGAGGCCAGAACATTGAATGTTTGAAAGCAAAGAGGTACAGTTTGTAGGGCTATAGGGAAAAAAAGGGTATGGGGAAAAAGTGGGAACAGGGTACTGAGTTGGATAGTCAGCCATGGCCATATGGTATTTTGAAGTAGGCTCAAAGGGCTCAAATGGCCTACTCCTATGTTTCATGTTTAGATGTTGGTATGAAGTGTGAATGTATCACGGCAACATGCAGCTTGTATAATGTTGACTATAGAATCTATAAATCAATGGAATGAAAGCACTTTCTGTTGAGGACTGTTCCAAGGGAACAAAACTATATGGACACTATTGATTGGACCCTGGATCTTCAGAATTCTTGAAACATTGAAACTTGCATGGCCTGTTCTTGCAGCTTCCTGTGACACCAATAATGATGAATTCACCAGCTCCCCTGTAAAGTGCACTCAGTCACCTAATGAATGCATGTCCATACCGCAGCTCGATTAATGTTACTGGGACTATTGATTTTCACACATGGGGTCTATGGAAGCATTTATTTTTCTTCCCTTGGAACAGAGTTATTTCATAGGTCAATCACTTTGCTGTAGGTCCGGAGTCACATATATACCAGATCAACTAACGATGGCAGAGTTCATTCCCTAAAAGGCACTATTGAACTACAATTTTTTTTTAAAGCCAACGGTTACCTAGTTACTATTAGATTGGTTTTAAATCCAGATTTTACTAAATTCAAAGTTCACCATCTGCCATGGTGGAATCAAACCCGTGCTCCCAAAAATTTAGCTCGACATTTAGATTACTATGACGGTATCAATATTACTACACCGCTGCCTCCCTGAGGCTCCCTGAAATGAATCCATGCCAAACAAAGGTGATAGTAGTTGTCACTTTCATAGAAATAGAGAAAAAAAAACTACAGTGAGTTAAGAAAGCCTGTAGGTCCTCATTAAGCTCCCCTACACTTAGGTGTCGTCCACTGATCTTTGTATACATCTCCTCAGTACAGTCCTCATATGTGCAGTACTACTTGTATATTATATGGGAAGGATAATAATCTGAGGACTTGCATTTTCCTTCGATACTGTCTAGCTTGCCTTTTCTCCATTTTAGACTGGTGGTCCTTCTTCATGCCTGGAAGGGAATGTCATATGTGCTCCTGAAAAGCCACTGGATGAAGTGGGATGTTGGGGTAGGGAAGAAGTTTAAAAATGATTGGTGGTCTGACCCTGTCAGAAGCATACAACTATGAGAAGGGCGGTCAGCAACGCAGGACTGAGAGTGTTGTACTTAAATGCACACAGCGTACAAATAAAGGTAAATGAGCTCATAGCACAGATTGAAATTGGCAGGCATGATGTTGTGGGTATCATGAAGACATGGCTGCAAGGGGTTCAGGGCTGGGAACTAAATACCCAAGGATACACATCCTATCGAAAGGACAGGGAGATCGGCAGAGCAGGTGGTGTTGTGTTGTTAGTAAGAAATGAAATTAAATTGATACAAAGAAGTAATATAGGGTTGGAAAGCATGGAATCTGTGTGGGTAGAGTAAGGAATCACAAGGGAAAAAGACGCTGATGGGAGTAGTGTGCAGGCTTCCTAGCAGTAGTCAGGAGGTGGGGCAGAAAATAAATCAGGAGATAGAAGAGGCATGTAAGAAAAGCACTGTTATAATAATCTTAAAGAACTTCAATATTCAGGTGGCCTGGAAAAAAACAGGTTGGTAGCAGATCCCCAAGAAAAGGAATTTGTGGGAACATCTATGAGATAGATTTTTGGAGCAACTTGTGGTGGAACCCATGAAGATACTGGCAATTTTAGATTTGCAGATGTATTATAAGGAAGATTTGATTAGGGAGCTTAAGGTGAAGGAACCCTTAGGGGCCAGCAACCGTATTATGATTGAATTCTTCCCGCAGTTTGAGAGGGAGTAGTTGGAATCAGATATAACAGTATTACAATTGAGAAAAGGTAGCTACAAAGACACAAGGGCCAGAGTTGAATGGAAGGGGACCCTAGCAGGGAAGAGAGTGGAGCAGCAATGGCAGGAGTTTCTGGGAGTAATTTGGGAGGCCCAGCTGAAATTAATCTCAAGGAAGATGAAACATACTAAGGAGAAGATGAGGCAACCACGGCTGACAAGGGAAGTCAGGGACAGCACAATAGTAAACAGAAAAGTATACAATGTGGTGAAAATTAATAAGGAGCCAGAGGATTGGCAACCTTTCAAAAATCAGCAAAGGATAACTAAAAAGAAATAAGGGGGAAAAAGATGAAATATGAAGATAAGCTAGCTAGTAATATGAAACAAGATTGCAAGAGTATTTTTAGATAAAGATAAGAGAAGGGCAAGAGTGTACATTGGGCAAGTGGAAGATGAGACGTGAGACATAGCAATATGGAACAAGGGAGAGGAACTAAGTAGGTATTTGGAATCAGTCTTCACGATGGGAGACACCAGCAGCATACAGAACTTCGAGAGAGTCAGGCATCAGAGTGGGTGCAGTGGCTATCACTAAGGTGAACGTGCAGGGGAAGCTGAAAGGTCTGAAGACCACATGAGGTGATAGCTAAGGAGATTGTAGAGGTATTGGTGGTGATCTTTCAGGAATCACTGAAGTCATGGAAGGTCCTAGAGCACTGAAAAATGGCTAATGTAACACTCCTGTTAAGGAGGAAGGGAAGCAAAAGATGGGAAATTATAAACCAGTTAACCTGGCCTCAAGACATTGGTAAGATTTTAGAGCCCATTATTCAGGATGAGATTGCAGAACACTGAGAATTGCATGGTAAAATAAGGCTGTGTCAGCACAGCTTCATCAAGGGGAGTTCATACCTGACAAATCTGTCAGAATTCTTTGAGGAGGTAACAAGCAAGTTAGACAAAGGAGAGCCAGTGGATGTGATCTATTTTGATTTCCAGAAGGCCTTTGACAAGGTGGCACATATGAGGCTGTTAAATAAGATAATGGCCCATGAGGTTAGGCACATGTTACTGGAATGGATAGAGGATTGGCTGACTAGTAAAGGGCAGAGACTGGGAACAAAGGGGTCTTTTTCAGGATGGCAGCCGGTGACTAGTGGAGTTCTGCCAGGCTGTTGTTGGGACAACAACTATTCATGTTATATATTAATGATCTTGATGAAGGAACTGAGGGCATTGTTGCTAAGTTTGCAAATGACACAAAGATAGATGGAGGGGCAGGTAGTGTTGAGGAAGCAAAGAGGCTGCAAAAGGATTTAGACAGGCTAGGCAAATAGACAAAGAAGTGGCAGATGGAATTTAATCTGGAAAAGTGTGAGGTGATGCACTTTGGTAGGAAGAATAGAGGCATAGACTGTTTTCTAAAGGTAAAGACTTTGGAATTCTGAAGCACAGAGGGACTTAAGAGTCATAGTTCAGGATTCTCTTAAGGTTAACATGCAGGTTCAGTTAGCAGTTAGAAAGACAAGTGCACTTTTAACATTTATTTTGAGAGGGGGTAGAATACAAGAGCAGGGATGTACTGCTGAGGCTATATAAGGTAGGAGGAACTTTTGGAACATATATCTAAGAAAGGATGTGCTGGGATCACAGTCAGTCCAGAGGAGGTTTACAAGAATGATCCTGGGGTTAAGGGCTTGTCATATGTGGAGGAGTTGAGGTTTCACTCAATAGAGATTAGAAGGATGAGGAAGGATCTCATTGAAACTTCTTGGATATTGAAAGGCCTGAATTGCGTAGATGTGGAGAAGATGTTTTCCATAGCAGGAGAAACTAGGACCTAAGGGCACAGTCTCAGAGTGAAGGGATGACTCTTTAGAAACTGAGGTGAGGAGGAATTTCTCCAGCCAGAGACTGGTTAATCTGTGGAATTCATTGCTGCAGATGGCTGTGGAGGCCAAGTCATTGACTGCATTTAAGACATAGGTTCTTGATAAGTAAAGGGGAATCAAAGGGATAAGGGGAGAAGGCAGGAGAATGGGGTTAAGAATAATGCTTGAATGGCAGAGCAGACTTGATGCGCTAAATGGCCTAATTCTGCTCCTACATCTTATGGTATTATTAAGCAGAAAGTTTAGATCCTGAGAAGTATTTTCTAACCAACAAGTTCAGTGATGATATATTATACTTCTGGATCAGGTGGGATTTGAACTTGTGCATCTTGGTTCAGAGGCAAGGACACTAACACAACACCACAACACCACAAGTCCGTATCTACCCCGAGGTCTTTATATACAATTACATACTTAAAACATTTAAAAGTCCACAGTACAAATTGCAAATGAAACTGTCCAACTTTTCAGGTCAAAATCCCCTTACTCGTGGCAATAACTGAACATTCAGTTGAATCTTTTGGTTACAATGAATAACAGAAGGAGATGCAGAGTTGCTGCTTTCATTATAATATATGTAAATGAAGGGACCTCAGGGTTAAATGGTGGGTGAATTCTAGAAAGGGTTAAAAAAAACAGAAAAGGTCTCAGGTTTGAGAGTGGGGATGGGTTATCAATGGGAATGGCTTCTGCCAATTTGTCCAGTCACAATTGTTCACCAACATCTTAAGCCCATGACCCCTACATGTATAAGGACAAAACAGCAGGTACATGGGAATGCAATCACTTGGAAGTTCTCCTCCATGGCACACACCACACTGGTTTGGAACTTACTGTTCATTTACCCAGTTCCCTCCCTAACAACTCTGTGGGTGTACACATGGATTGCAACATTTCATGAAGGCAGCTCCTATTACCTTCTCAAGGTCAACAAAGGATGGTTAACAAATCTTGGCCTAACCAGCAATGCCCACATCCCATACAAGATTAATGATAAAATAAAATTATGTGCCAGAAATAGACTGAAAATAAAGGAATTCCAGCACCATTACTACACATCCACCATCACCTATGTGTTTAAAGCAACAAATAAATTTTATGTAAACTATTGCAACAGTTATTGTTTGTGGCCTATGCCACATAATGGCTAATATCATGTCTTTATTGATGTTATCCCTAGATGAACATGAAATATTCAAAACATCCTCCTAATGTTTTTCAGTTTCAATTTTGATGATAATTATGCATTGCACCAACATACTACACTCGCTAGCATGTAGGTTTCAACATATTAAAGTTTATAGCTGTCATTCTTGTGAAAACACACCATCATTACTGGAAATTCAATCAGAAATGGCTACGGTAGAAACTTCTACCTTATGCATTGAAAATAATCTGTTCTGAAAGAAGCATCCCAGGTTGTGACTGCACGAGCAACCAGAATCATAGGAGGTAAATTAAAATCTCACATCCTTCTTATTTCTTGGATTTTCTTGTTGTTTAAACAGTTGACTATTCAACAAAAAACAGGAGCAGTTTTGACCTGAAAGATCAGTTTCATCAGTTGTTTCATTTTGTTTCATTTTATATTTATTGTATTTTGGCATTGTGTTTTGGAATAAAAAGACAGCAGTTTACATGTTTTTAAATGGGTTTGTATGTCTACCCACTTTTAGCTACTTTCTGTTCATAACTCTTAGGATGAAAACCCATTACACCATGTGATGTCAAAATATGCTTAACATAAGTATTTTACCTTTAAATAACTTTGATGTATCTTATAATGATGTGGAATTAACAATATACATTTGTTATTATAGTAATTAGCTCCAGTTTTATTCTTGAGAAGAAATCAAACGTAATTGTTTGAGATTCAGCAGGAGAATGAATTAGACATTTTTTTAGATTTGTTTTTCGATGGAGGTGTTAGGCTTGTGGAATAAAGTTGAGTAGATGGAAAAAAGATACAGATAAGCCATAGTCTGATGGAATGATGGAACAGGGTTCCAGAGACAATGATCTAATGCTGTTCGTCTGTTGCAATGAATATTTTAGTCATCATGAGCTACTGAATGCCTGACTGCCAAGCATCTTGGGTCTTCTGAAAAGATATGGTATAAGCGTTTACATTGTTTACTTCCTTTTTAGTTTGATTTAAAAATTCACGAGTTTCTATGGAAGCAAAATAATAAATGATTCCATCCAGGCAGCAGTTTATACTAGCTATAGTCGAGGCCACACTCATAAACAGGCGCACATTATTCAGCAATTTGCAATCTTGGTGTGACATCTCCTGCAGAAACTCATGCAATAATCCTGCATGAAAAGGCATGAAGCAAATAAAAAAGATGATTAGATTAGTGATGACAATTTTTATGCTTCGTCCGAAAACGTAGTTTCCCTGGGATTCTGCACTTTTATTGCAGAGAGTCACGATGATCTGAAATGAACAAAAGCTCAAAATGAGGAAAGGTATTACAAATCCAAATAGTTCAATGGAAATGATGATCCAAGTTTTTGTTGGCTGTGCGGTGGTTTTCTGAAAACAAAATTTATTGTTGCCAGTTGCGTTGTTAAAGTTTATTTTGAGGAAAACTGAAAGTGAACAGATTAAAGTCCAAGCTGCACCACATGCAAATGTGGCCTTCTTTGGTGACCTTAAGTACTTTGCCTTAAATGGGTACTTTATTGCAATGTATCGATCTACAGTTATACAGACAATGATGTAGATGCTCACATACATGTTCACAAAGTACAGGCATTCGAGAACTGTGCAGTAGCTTGATCTGAGGTTCCAAGTAGTCCTGTAGCTGTACATCTTGAAGGGTAAAATCAGGAGCAGGATACTGTCTGAAACAGCCGGGTTTGTCACAAAAATAATAGTCTCTGTCCATTTCCTGAATTTGCAGCAGAATGCCCACAGGGTCATTGCATTAAATGTTAATCCCAGGAAAAAGATTGGTACAGATATCCCAATCAGAATCAAATGCATTTCTTTCGTCATTGAGTCATTGCAGTGCACAGTTGTGTTGCCTGTCATCTTTCCAATCTGCCAAGCTGTAAGACATCAACACAATATTAAGAGTAAAATTGTATGAGTATGGAGCTCTGGTCAGATAACTCGTTACCTGGCTTCAATAGTTATTGTGTTTTATATCATGTGAATTGTCAACTATGGTTTACATACACTTTAACAGTTTTCCTTGAAACACATAGAATCATAGAATCCGTAGTGTGCAAACAGGCCATTCGGTCCAACAAATCCACACCAACTCACCCCCTCCTCCCACCCTGTAACCCTGCATTTTCTATGGCTAATCCACCTAACCTACACATCCCTCGACACTACGGGCAATTCAGCATCGCCAATTCACCTAACCTGTCTATCTTTGGACATGTTTGTTAATGTGGCGTTTTAGTGTATCAGGAGTTCACTGCATCTCATATATTAATTCCATCGGCATTAGTCACAATGTCTTTTGCATATCAGTTCCATTTCTTGAGAAATGTTAACAAACAGCACAGAGTTATGAGGTAGAATGTGAACCAAATTTTCCCTCTCTAGAATTTCAATCCCCACGTTATTACTAGGGACCCGGGTTCAATTCCAGCCTCAGGTGACTGTCTGTGTGGAGGTTTGCACATTCTCCCAGTCTGTGCGTGTTTCCTCTGGGTGCTCCGGTTTCCTCCCACAGTCCACAGATGTGCAGGCTAGGTGGATTGGCCATGCTAAATTGCCCATAGTGCCCAGGGATGTTTAGGTTATGTGGGCTAGACATGGGGAAATTAGGGGAATGGGGGTCTGGGTGGGATGCTCTTCAGAGGGGCGGTGTGGACTTGTTGGGCCAAATGGCCTGTTTCCACACTGTAGGGATTCTATGATCTCTTTGGTTGTGGGGTCAGATTGTGGGTGGCGGAAATGATGGAGAACGATACGGTGCATGCAAAGGTTGGTGGGGTGGGATGTGAGGACCGGGGATTCTGTCTTTATTTTTGTTGGAGGGAGGTGGTTTGAGATGGCAGAAGTGTGAGAAATGCAAGAGATGCAGTTAAGGGCATTTTTGATCACTGGAGGGGGGACGTTGCGGTCCTTGAAATAAGAGGACATCTGGGATGTGCGGGAGTAGTACGCTCCATCTTGGGACCAGGCGCAGTGAAGGCGGAGGAATTGGGAGTAAGGGATTGCATTCTTGCAGGAAGTTGGGTGAGAGGCAGTGTAGTCTAGGTAGCTGTGGGAGTCGGTGGGCTTGAAATAGATGACAGTTTTGAAACGGTTACCAAAGATGGAGATGGAGTGGTCCAGGAAGGAGAGGGAGGTATCAGATATGGTCCAGGTGAATTTGAGGCTGGGGTGAATGGTGTTCGTAAAGTTGATGAACTGTTCAAGCACCTTGTGGGAGCATGAGGCAGTGTCGATACAGTCATCAATGTAACGGAGGAAGAGGTGGGGCATAGTGCCAGTGTAACAGTGGGAAAGGGACTGTTCTACGAATCCTACGAAGAGGCAGGCATAGCTTGGGCTCATGTGGGTGTCCATGGCCACCCCCTTAGTCTGAAGGAAGTGGGAGGAGTTAAGAAGTTGTTCAGGGTAAGGACAAGTTCCATGAAGCAGATGAGGGTGTTGGTAAAGGGATTGTACAGGGATTGGATGTCCATGGTGAAAATGAGCTTTTGGGGGCCGCAGAATTGGAATTTTTGGAGGAGGTGGAGGGTGTGGGTGGTGTCCCAGACGTAGTTGGGGATTTCCTGGGCCGGGGGGAAAAGAGAGAGTCAAGGTAAGTGGAGATAAGTTCAGTGGGACAGAAGCAGGCAGAGACAATGGGTCAGCCCATGTAGTCAGGTTTGTGGATTTTGGGAAGGAGATAGAAATGGGCGGTGCGGGGTTGGGGAATGATGAGGTTGGAGCCTGTGGGTGGGAAGTCACCTGAGGTGATGAGATTATAGATGGCCTGGGAGCTGATTTTTTGGTGGGGTCATGATCGAGGGGGCAGTAGGAGGAGGTGTCAGAGAGTTGACGTCTGGCCTCGGGAATGTAAATGTCAATGCACCATACCACTACTGTGCCTATCTTATCTGTGGGTTTGATGGTGAGGTTAGGGCTGGAGCGGAGGGAGCGTAGGGCTGCGTGTTCCATGGGGGAGAGGTTGGAGTGAGTGAGAGGGGTGGACAGATTGAGATGATCAATGTCATATTGGCAGTTGGAAATGAAGAGGTTGAAGGAGGGTAGGAGGCTGTGGGGTGGTGTCCAGGATGATGAGGTTTGTTGGTGGCAGGAGAAGGGGTCTGTAGAGGGTGGGTTAGATTCCAGTTAAAGAAATAATCGTGGAGTGGGAGAGCCCTGAAATAACTTCTCCTTCTTCCTGCTCCTCTGATGCTGCCTGGCCTGCTGTGTTCCTCAAGCTCCACACTATGTTATCTCTGACTCCAGCTTCGGACCTTCCTACTATCTCTGAATGAGTTACACACCAACATAAGTTGGCAGAGTTCAGGTGAGAGTCTGGCATTCACTAATATAATGTTCAACCAGATTGGAGAGGTTTATATACCACCTTGTGTTGATAGTTGGGTTTACAAACACAAGTGGTTCCCATTTTTACAAATGACATTGTGCCTGTGAACATAATTCCAGCAGGCTGGGCTGTAAATCAGTCTTCATGACATGCAAATGAATATACAAGAGTTTCCCAAAAGTGCACTCATCTGAAATGCCCTGAAAACCTAATAGCAAAGTTTTGACCTATGACTGGGAACTAATACTTTCACCTCCCACTCAATGAGGGAGTGTTTGTGACCAGACAGTGAGCAGGCCTCAGCAGGAATTGATAAATGGATCTCAGAATGAGATGGAGTAGGATTGGTGATCAGGAGAACAGCAGGTCTGGAAATCAGGTGGAGAGTGGCTCTGGGGATCAGGAGGAGAGTGGGTCTTGGAATCAGGAGGAGAGCAGGCCAGGGGGGCGTGAGGGAGTGAGAGGAGAGAGAGAGAGCGAGAGAGAGAGAGAGCATGTGTGAAGGAATGAGGGAGAGAAAGTGTCAACCTTGGAGGCTTGAAAAGTTTTATTCATGGTTGGTACTCTTTGATGACAATTTTGAGTCATGGCCCATTTATTTATATGATCCATTAATTGGTTTGGATTTTTTTTTCTGTAGAAAATTTAATGATTACTGTTGTGACAAACCCTACCTTTCTGAAATTTGTTTTTCTAAGGTGTGACATTCATAGCTCAATAGTTACTTTACTGCAGAACATTAACTGTTTCAAGATGTCCCTCTGTCTCTTCCTCATTATTAATTCCCTAATTGCATCCTCCAAAGGCCCCACACTTAATTCAGCTACTCTGTTTTTATATATCTGTAGACACTTTTACTATTTATTCTTGTTTTCCTTGCCAATCTACTTACATAATCAATTTTCTTCCTCTTTATTAGCTTTTTAAGCCACCTAAGTCCCAATCCTGCAGCCTAACACTAGTTCTCGCTACTTTGTTTGCCTTAGCATTTCATTGGACACCCTTTGTGACAGTCTTTGGGTGGGTCATCCTTTTCATTAAGTTCTTCTTTTTGGTCGATATAAATCTTTGCTGAGCATCCAGAAATATCAACTTAATGGTCTGCCATTGATCATCCACTGACTTTCCTGTCATTCTATTTTCCCAGCCCATTTTAAACTGCTCTTTCTTCACACCACTGCCACTGCATTTATTTCAGGTGAGGATGCTGGTCTGTCACCTGAGTTGCTCTCCCTCAAACTGAACTAGAAATTCTACAATGTTGTGATCATTTCCCCTCAGTGGATTCTTGACTACAAGATCTCTTATTAATCCTACCTCATTACACGTCACTATAACTAAACCAGCCTGCTCCAGGGTATGTTTCTGCAATGTATTGCTCTAAGAAACAGTCCCTGATACACTCTACAAATTTGTCTTCCATGCTGTCACCAAGCAGTTCATTTGTCTGGAGAATACTAAGATTAATATCACCCATGACAACTGCAGTGCCCTTCTTGCATGCCTTCATTATTTCCTGATTTATACATTGTCTTGAAGTGAAGTAACTCTTATAGACAACTTCTACACTTGACCTTTTTTCTTTGCTAATCCTTATTTCCACCCAAACAATTTCCACATCACAATCTGTTGTACTTAGATCATTATTTACCCACACTGATCCTGTCTATGTTAACAAAGCCACCTCTAGGCCCGAAACGTCAGCCTCTCTGCTCCTATGATGCTGCTTGGCCTGCTGTGTTCATCCAGCCCTGCACCTTGTCGTCTCGGATTCTCCAGCATCTGCAGTTCCTACTATCTCTGATTCGATTCCACCCCACCTTCTCTTCTTTTTTCCTATTTTTTCTGGAACATTGAATACTCTTGAAAGTTAAGAGTCCCAGTCTTTGACACCCTGCAATATGTCTCTGTAAAAGCTATCAAGTCATAATAATTTATTTCTATTTATGCAATTAACTCATTTATCTTGCTATCTTGATATCTACATTATTTTCTATCCCCTCCTGACACACTTTATCATTCACCTGTTCAAGACCCTGCACCCCTGCTCTTTTGTTCCCTTTCTCTTTTTTGAAATTCCTTCAGTTGAATTCTTAGCCAATGAATTGGTTTAAAGTCCAATCTATAATCCTAGTTATACAATTTGCTGCGTCACTGGTCCCAGCATGGTTCAATTTAAGTACATCTCAAGAGAATATCTCTCTGTTTTCCCACAGTAGTGCTCCTTGAATTGAAAACCCATTTCTCCCACACAAATTTTTAAGTCACTCAATTATCTTCTAATCTTATTTACCCGATGCCACTTTGCAACAGAATCAGGTAGTAATCCGGAGATTGTTACTTTACTGGTTCTATTCTTAATTTAGCCCTGAGCTGCTCATCATCCCTTGGCAGAGCCCCATTGCTAGGTCTACCTGTGTCGTTGGTACTTTGGTAGACTACAATAACTGGAACGTTCACTTCCCACTCCAAGTTCCTTTCCAGCTCAGATAAGATGTCCCAAATTTTGGCAACAAATAGGCAATGCAGTCTTCTGGACCCTCCCCT